GCTAGGTTAGTGGTTACCCTTGCACTTATATGGTGGGCGACTTCTGTGCCATCCTTCTTTGCACAAAACTATCGGTGAGGCATCAGTATCCCTTTCTATATCATCAACCGAGTCCTTGTTTCATACGCAATGGTCACAGATGTGTAGCACACCTCACGTTTCTTAGCCCATATAGCGGTACTCACTTATCTGTCGTTACGTTACTACGTTATCATCACGGAAAGGATGAAAGCCCAGTTGCCAATCTGGGCTAAAATATACGCCTTGCCTTGCCGACCCTCAGCTGAACAAATTCCAACAAATTAACCGCTGATCAGAAGATAATTGAACTCGCCGCTGATTTGCATCCATATAAAGTGGACGGCTTCAATTAATCAACACGGTATATGTCGAATATGATATGCATAGTTTTATTACGGTATCACATCACGTAAATTAACGAAATATTTTCAGTTCGGCCCGCTTTATTAAAATCACAAGATATACAGATGTATGAAAAATGGCAAACAGCTCTAATAAAACGGATATTCGGTATAGGAAGAAAATCAAATCAATCAAACGATCAATCATTCAGCGGGGGACGACTATAAACATAAATCGCTTGAGATACAACGACTTGACAAAACATGATGAACATGCAACTAGTAACTTCGTACATACTGACGTTGGCACAAAACGACATGAACAGAAACGCGGTTGCCGGCAGCTAAGAGAGATAAAATGAGGGAGCGAGTGATAGCGAAGAGGAAAAAGAGCCAGGAACGCGTTTTAAGGTGCGCGTACGAAGAAACGAAAACGAATGGCCGAATTTACTGAACGCGAACGAATGAACGAGCGAGAGCACATCTTTGGACGGACAAAATCTTCAACCGGGTCTCGACGCGGTTCTCGTCGCCGTCCTGCCGTCGCTTCTGCCGCTATCGCCGCCGCACCAGTCTATACATCAGGATACAAGCTCAGTTTCAGGTACGAAGTGGGAACAAATCCGTCAACGTCTCTGTCTTGAATTTTTTTCCGCACCTTCGTCCAACCGTCGCCCGTATCGATTTCTAACACAAGCATTTCGTCGTGCTCCTCAATCGGCACCATTCCCTCGTTGCCACCTAAACGAACGTTCGTGTGAATTATACGAGGCGGGCACGGCTTTACGAGGATCCCATAGCCGCAGGCCCACCGTTTCCATATGCGACTTACCAGGAAAATGGTACATCGCCGTCGCGTGGCCAAGGATCGTCAGATTCGGCTCTTCCTGATTGTAGTAGTCGTTGACTGCCTGGTCGTAAAAGTCCGAGTCAACATGTGGAATGCATGGTTCAGAAGTGGTTTCGCTACAAGTACCAGTGATGCAAGCCGCAATGAAATAAACAAACTGAGTGCCTTTTCATAAACAGCTCCGGATATATAATCATAATTGTACAATAGATTATCAACACTGATTACGGGCGCCCATCGTCCACATATTAAAACGGCGC